AGGAATTAGATGCTTACTGTGTAGTAGAGTCATTGTTTTTCCTCTTTTGCTAAGTTGTACTACATCACAGTTATTAAAATCTCATACTACTTTTTACCAAATAAGAAGGAAACACTAATTTTAATTAATGTTACCCTTTGAGCAGTGCCTCTAGCTGTGTGCTGCCATACAATTGACAAGCATACAGAGCGGTTAGGCTGGTTTTTAGAGAGCGTATAGCTGGAAAGATGATCACTTTGGAAAGGGATAGTTGAAAGTGAATGGAAAAGCTTATCTGTGTCCTGGGCTCACAAGAAAAAAAAAAAACCTCCAATAAGAGCAATCTCTGGAGAGAGATCCCTCCTTAGTGGCAGTCAGCCCTTAAATGGGGTCCAGAAGAGGTGCAGCCAGGCTCCAGCCCTTCTGGTCACACAGCTGAATTGCTTTCACCTGTGCTGCATGGCTGATTCAGTACTTGCCTCAGGTGGTCAATCAGAAGTTCAGGCCATGATTCAGCAGTTCCCATTCAGCTGCCCTGATTACACCAGAAGTAGCATGGGGCCTGGGTGCATGCAGGGACTCTGCCTTGCTATGCTTGGTGTGAGAGTCAGGGCTGAGGACTGCTTTTGGCACCATGGCTGAAGTGTAGAAGCAGATCACTCCAGGAGTGGTGAAGTGGAAGAGATGTACTGACACAAATGTAGCACTAAACCCAACCAACTGTCAGCCAGTTAAGAGCACAAAACCACTGCATTATCTATACTCTTAGATTTGATCCCACTGATACCCATCTCGCAGGCAGACTCGAGTATGTGAGAGAGATCTGCGTTCTGCTTGTCAGGGATTTTTTCTTTTTTCGCTTCTACAGTAATATTTGACAGAAATATTTATGTCTTCATGTCCTCAGCTGGAATTTACGAAAATCAGTGGGATCACACAAATGCGTGATGCCTACTGACAAGAGAGCTCCTGGGAATAAAATTTGACGCTCGGTTTAAAAGATAATAGGTTATGACAGGAGCTCACTTCAGCAATGCCCAAACTCCCTTGTCATCTGTTTCGGATGTAAATGCCATGAAAAGGTCAGAATGTCTTGAACCCATTTGAGGATTGAGGCAGAAAGTGAGGATGTTAAGTACAGTGAGGAACGCATCATCCTTCTCAGCGCACTTTGAACATGCGCTGCTTGGTAGGTGTATCTAATTAACAACAAAAGACTTTTTGCAGAGAAGACTCATAGTCTCTGTCAAACCCTTCAGATTGTTAGAGCTGCACAGACTGGACGATGAGAATGCCATTGCAGCTCGGAAATGTGGCTAGGTCCTTCACTTTTTGGGAGCAGCCAAGGTAGCCTAAATGTTGGTGAGAAAACAAAAGGAGGTGCCGTTACTTCTTGCTTGCTTGTTTCTATAATTATCAGCAGTGCTACACCAATTAAACTTTTTTTTTTATTTAACATTTCTTTAAAACTCAACTGCACAGTGAGGCATATTTCAAGCATTTCTGTTGTAGATTTGTTCTCAGCTGTCTCAGTTTCCATGTAACCTCACTTTTAGCTCACCTCATTTTAGAACATTTATTGCTCTGTCTACACTTGACCTTTCTCTAGAAAAATACATTTTTTAATAACTTATATAATTTCTCTTCAATGCAAAACATCAGACAGAAAAAAAGCCAAATGAAATTGCTTCCCATGAGGATTAAGATGAAAGTCTGTGCAGGAATGGGTGCAATGTTCAGAAACATTTCGGCCAGAAAGCTTCAGGTGAAATGCCATTGAGTGTTAAAAGTAGCTAAGGCCAAAACATTTCCAGAAACTGTAATATAAGAGAAGATAGGGACATTATTTGACAAGGAGAGGTCCATATGAGATTTTAATCAAGTTGAGCTAAGAATTTTAGTAATGTAATTATAAAAATAAAGTTAAAAATGAGCTATGCTAGTGGACCTCCATGAACTAAAATAAAATCCACAGAACAGTCAACTGATGTGTCCAATGCAGCGTGTGTGCACATCATGCTATTAAACTTCAGTACTAAACCAATTTTCCGATTTATTATTGGGTTTGCTGGTTTTAAATTTAATTTTTGATTAAATCTCATGTTCATGCTTTTGGAGATAGAAAAATTTCATGGTGCATTTAAAGCACATTGAATAGCAGACAAATTGAAAAATGAACTTGTTCAGCAAAGGGAAGATGAGGAAAAGGATAGATTTCACTTTGGGGTTTAAAAAATATACCTTACCAGTGTATTTACTATGTATCCTGTCTTCACTTCCTCCTCTGATCCAAGATGACAATAATTGAGATGTAGCAAATTATAAGATGTTACCTTTTTACAACTTGTGTACATTTTTTCTTACTTTTTCTATGTCTTTCTTTATAACCAATAGATTTATTTTAATCTTGTTTTTGTTATGTTACATGCCATTTTTCCTTGTTTTGTTTTGTTCTTGTTGGTTTTTTTTGAAGGACGGTTTATGGCTCATGAATAGCAAATGGTACAGTAGAGGCCCTAAAGAGAGATTGTAAATACAGGCAATTCTTAAGTTTGTTCAGGATAACTAAATGCAAAGAATAGGACAGAAGGCACATTATTAAGCATCAGTTTTTGAAGGTGTTTTTTTCTTTCCAAATCCAACCTCAGTTTAGCATGGCACAAACCTTGAGGCTGCTCTGTTGTGTGCTCTGCTACTTTCATGCCCTCTTTTCCTACTGTGCCTCATTGAGTATGGCTTGGGCAGTGGAGTGGCATCATGCTGAGACCAAGGACCCTATGGGGTTTCCACTGATCCTCAATTGGAGTCATCCCATCCTGCATGCTAGCAAGATACTATTTATTATTCCTATCAAAGCACTGAAGTGAATGTCATCCAACTTACATGTTGCTGTGATGGTTACAGAAGAAATACCAGATGATGAGCTTATCCCCTAAGAAAGCTTGTTAGAGCTTGTAGTACAGGATAAAGAACCATATATTGTCAGTTGAATACCTTTGTCTTTTACTGGTTCCTGTCAGTACAATGCAGCAAGATGTCAAGAACCTGGTTGTAGGTTTTAATTCCGCCGATGCATTGCTCCCTTTGAACTCGATCACCTTAGTTAATCAGGGAAATGAAATCAATACAGTTACCATGGCAGTGTTCTGTCCACTCTGTCCATGGTCTCTCATAGTGAGCACAAAAACTGTTTCCTAATAAATATTGATTTGTCAATTCATTAAATTCAGCTGTGTTGGAGGGGAAGCTACAAGGCCATTTCTATTAAAAGAATAAACTGTGCTTCAGAGGAATTGTGGGTTTTGTACATACATAGTCATAGGGTTTTTGTTCAAACTAAGTGCCTCAGAAGAAAAAGAAAAAATGATATAGTAACTGACATTAGGTGGATCTTTATTTTCCACTCTCGCCTGCATCATGGACCTCTTTTAAGAAAAAAAAAAAAAACTACAGCTTGAAATGGTTTCAGATTTGATGGCCTTTTTTCTCTAAGATTAACTGACCTTTGCATTTGTAGAATGCGTGTTAATATGCACTGTGAAACAGCAGTTCTGTAGCTTAATAAATCAGCACCAATAGTGAATTGTACTGCTGACAGCACATTTGAGACAGAAGAATGGAACTGGCTGAATGGATCTGGTGATCTGCTCTGTGTGTAAATGAGTAAAAGCAAGAATCTTTTTCGCGAAAGAGTCAGAGGGCCAGTGTTGTGGTACAGTGTGGCTCAGCCTGGAAGTATATTTTCCCCCCTTATTTGTGTATTGAAAGGCATCTCAGAAGAATTGGTGTCCCAACATGTTGAGGAAGATGCAGTGATTGAATTAAAGAGGACCTAGGCCCTCTGCACTGACAAAACAAATGAAGGATATAAAGTGATGGAAGATGTCACAAGGGAAGAAAGAGGACATCATAGCTCCATGGGTCATGGATACAGTTTGCCTTTGGCATACTCTTTATGGACAGTGTAATCTGAGGCAGGAGCAGTCAAGTGTAGAAATTGGACCTGTGGTGAGTTCATCCCAAAGGAAAAGTCTGTAATGAAGGACAGACTGGTCTCTTGGTGTGTGAAGGTGAAGTGTTGGCTTGATTCAATAGTTCAGATTGCAAACTGGGATCCCAACTTACTACTCTTGGTATGGGAAAGGTATGGGGATGGTGTGTTCTAACATTATCTGGAGGAAGTTGAAAGAAGAATTGCTTAAAATATGCTCTGAAGTTAGTGGAGGTACAGATTCTGTCGAGAATTCTGGAGAATTCAAAACTGAAATACTTCTGCCGTGTGAGAATTCATTATCACAAATGAACTCCTCATTTATGTGAAAGTCATCATGGTTTCCTGGAGGAAACAGCGTCTCAGAGTGTTACTCATCACATTTTCCAAGGAGGCAGAGCATTTGAACTACAGGAGAGGGAGAGAAATCAAATCCAATTTCCAAAACAATTAAAAGACCCATCTATATGCTCAGATTGCAGCATCTTGGCTTTTATGACAGGAAATGAGTGATTAGAGCAACTTCCAGCTCTTTCTCATGAATGGAAGCTCCTATGAAAGTGGCTTTCATAGTGGCTTTCATAGTGCTCACTGTTCAAATTTTAAAGAGGGTTACTCATGTAGGAATTTTCCTGCACATGTTCCTGGTAGATTACAGTTTTCTGAGTAAAGGTGCTTTTAATGAAAGAACTGTTATGGTCTAAGGTTTTACTTGCAGTTTATCAGGGTGTGATGGTTCTTGTGTTTCTGTTATTTCTTACTCATTATCTCCTTGTTTTCATTTATCATATCAAAAGACTGTTATATCTTTATACTCTCACTTTTGTCTGTTGGCCCACACTTGTTTTTTTTTTTTTTTTGCATTTGCCGAAGGCAGGGGTTAAATCTTTCTTAATGCAGGTCATCCTTCTTTGGCAGCATAATGGATGGTTGAAATTGCCAACTGAAGGGCGAGTTTGTCAGTATTCTGCTGTTCAGGCAATATCGTTATCAGGGAGGATAACACAAATACTTCTGTTCGTTTCTGCAGACCTCCCCCAGTGAGTGAAAGTGCACCAAAAGGAACTGTGGTCACTACAGTGATGGCAGCTGCCTTGAACCAAACTATTGTATATTCAATTGTGTCAGGAAATGAGGAGGGTAAGTACTAGTAACTTGATCTGAGTGTGCTGAGCACAGTGAATGCATCAGAAGTTTTCAAGAAACAGTGACTAGCAGAAAAGTGAGCTAAAGTGAGGTCCCGCCTCATCAGTACAAGCAGGAGGGACTGTTCCTGCTGTTGTTGTCAATCCTGTCCAGCCACAAACAAAAACAGGTGCAGGAGCAGACTTTGCTTCTTAAAAAGAGGTGAAGTTACTTTATGTAGAGCTTGCACTTAGCCTTCTCTGTTGGGAAGTCTTGTATTTCTTTATTAACAATGTAAAGTCATCTCCATGTCCAATGTGTGTCTCCTCCACTGGGGACAGTATGCTTCCTAGCTCTAGTATGCTGCCTGGAGTTGGTGTCAAAGCAGTGATTTCACAAAATAGAAACATTTTGTCATTGACAAAACTTCTGTTCTTTTGCTGGCTTTCAGATATGTTTGCTATTAATAACAGAACAGGTGTGATCTCTGTTAAAAAGCCTCTGGATTATGAAAGAGTGACAAGTTATGAACTTCGAGTTCAGGCAGACTCATTACAAGTGGTACGATCCAACCTGCGTGTCCCATCCAAAAGTAAGTTTAAAGATCCTTGTTGTTGAGTATCTTTTTAATGTATTCTTAATTTTTGTAATACTGTTAACTGCAGTCTCGCTTCTGTTGTGTCCTCAGAAATTGAGCAGTGATGATCATTTGTGAAAGGCAGAGTGTGCATTTGTGGATCTCTGTTCGTGTTCTCTACAGGATAACTGTTAGGTTTGATCCTCCCAAAGCACATCTGTGTTAGACAGAGATCTCACTGACCCAGATAGGCTCATATTTGTATACAAATAGTGAGCTGATGGTGCAGATCAAACATTTTCAGTGTAATTCAAGTTTTCCGTGATAGAATGCGACAGTTTTTCATAAATGCATTATGCAGCCCAACTGCAAACTGCTCCTCCCTGCTGGGCTGGGGACTTGTGTGTGTGGGGATGTGTAAGTTCTGAACAAACTGAGTATGAGGCACAGGAGAGTAATGGAAGGCAGAAAACGCGAGGACTCTGCAGAGAGGAATATGGGATAGATAGGCAGCAAGGGTGACAGGAAGAACAAGATGTCCTAAGCATCTCTTGGGGGTGTTTGGGGAGCTTATTGCAACCCCACGTGAGAGCAAATTGGAGAAAAGGATGGTCTGTGGCAGGAAGTTTCTTTGCAGAGCTCCAGGCACAAAGGAGTTCTGTTTACTAACTGTTTTATTTTGACTGTCTCCGAGTGTGAGAGATTTTTTTTCTCCTTTTAATGATTTTCTTGTTTGAATGACTTCAGAAGGACTTCTGGACATTTTGTTGTGCTTCCTATAAGGAAAAGGCCTGAGCAGTCTGGCTTTGAACATGTCTCACTTAATGTCCCATCCCATCTTTTACACCTTCCTATTTAAGCCATGTTTGAGCTCTAATTACAAAAGCGTTAATAGCTTGTACCAAAGAAAAATGGTATGTTCACATCACAAGCTTTTTTCATATGCAATATTTGTCTTTATTTTTTTGCTGGATTTTATAATCTCTAGGTAAGGACCATCATGGTCTCGATGGCAGTAAGCCCAGGGCATGGGAATGTCAAATAGAGAAACTCCTCTAAGGTAGCAAGGGATTGAAAATAATTTAAAGGCTATGAGAATACTGCGTTCCCATTTCACTGGAAACTGACTGTAAGTCTATTTCAAGTCATTTGTGCTGCTGTACCACCTCACTGCATTCCCCCTCATGTGAGCTGAGGACTCCCTAGGGGTCAGTAGCATTGGACTGTCACCTTTCTGCCTGCCCTGAGGAACAAGGAGCACTAGGTGACTTATGCCTCAGGTATAAGGTGAGCACTCCCTTCCACTCTGCAACTGTGTCACCTCTTTGGTCAGTGCTTTGATAGGAAGGGAGCCCAAGTGCCAATGGTGTCAAAAGTGACCACGCTGTCCCATGGCAGATGGTCTTTCCCACCCCATGAGTTGTGATCTGTGGAATTAATAGTTGCTGAATCGCAGAGGAAGGGCTGTACTTAGCTGATTTTGCTGTCCTATTCTGTAATTAGTGTTCTAATTGTTGTTCTAATGAATAGCCATAAATGTTAGGAAACCCAGCTCCAATTTATTTCTGTGCTGATTTGCTGCACATTTATGAAAGTATAGTGTATAAATTAGAGATTATAATTCAGGGGATAAAATTTAAAATGGGGTACAATGCTTTTTCTTCCAGTAATATATTACTGGAAAATCTGCTTGCAATATAGAAATTGGTAGCTAAAAATAATTTTCTTGCCATTTTTTTCATTTTTTTTTAAGTTACTGAGGTTAGTATGACGATGAGAGGGCTGGAGCACCTCTCCTGCGAAGTTGAAGGGACTGGACTTACAAAAGGCTCAGGAGAGATCTCATTGTGGCCTTCCAGCACTTGAAGGGAGCATATAAACAGGAGGGGGAATGGCTGTTTACGAGGGTGGATAGTGATAGGACAAGGGGAAATGATTTTAAACTGAGACAAAGGAGGTTTAGGTTGGATATTAGGAGGAAGTTTTTCACCCAGAGGGTGGTGAGGCACTGGAACAGGTTGCCCAAGGAGGTTGTGGATGCCCCATCCCTGGAGGCATTCAAGGCCAGGCTGGATGTGGCTCTGGGCAGCCTGGTCTGGTGGTTGGCGACCCTGCACATAGCAGGGAGTTGAAATTAGATGGTCTTTGCGGTCTGTTTCAACCCTGACTTTTCTGTGATGACAACAGACCCCAATATTTGAGAATGTGCTCTCAAACTGTGATAATGCAGTAAGACCTGAGACATCATATGAAGCATTGCAGTTAAAATACCTCTGTCAGGCTTGTCACAACTGCCTGTGCAACTAGCAGAAGACTATTGTGAAAATGAAAGCATATTTTGATAGATATATCTTCTTCCATAACAGAGATTGTACACGTGCATTTGTGGCACAGTACATAGGGATTATTCCATGATCAGAAGTTGAACGACATTAACAGCAATGGAAGGTCCTGTATGCTGTTACATCCACCACTGATGACATATCAAGAGAAGGAGAGAGAGTCAGCAGCAGCTGACCTCATCACTTTGTGCCTGGGGGAGGTCTGGGAATGCTGCATTTCTGTACAATGCAGTACTGCATTGTCCCTTCTCCCATTCATGGTCTACATGGGATCAGTGCTCCCTTCTGTGCAGTAGCTCATGAAAGAGGGTGGCCAAGTTATTATATTCAGGAATACCTGGTAATGGCCAGTGCTTATATTTTTTTCAGTTGAAACAGACATGTACTTGCGGTACATATTGGGATATCAGTGAGTAAGTAGTATATATTAAATTTTCAGTCTACAGTCTGCTGGATAGATAGCTGAAGAATTTGGCAGATGATGTATTTGTAAAACACTTTACAAGTATCTGGCTAACTAGATTACCTAGGCCTTTGTAATGGAGACTCCTCGACCTCTTGGTTTGATTCCCACATTTGTAGTAGTCTTTCCATTTTCTTTTTTGATGATATTTAATCATGCAAAATCATGCTCTCACATTTAGCAAAATTGAGCTTCTTAAGTGAGTAACTTTCACTGAAACTTTGTAATGTGAAATTCCTGAGTGAAAGTGCTTTTACATTTCACTTGAATGGATGAAATGTCAGCTCTTCTGATGATCGTGAAGTTAAAAACTTAGAATTCTGGCTGGAGGAATCGGCATTTGCTGATGCTGAACCCTCAGTGACCTCAAGTATTAATGAACTTCATCATTTCAGTTTAATTTAGTAGCTGGTTTTTTTTTGTGTGTCTGCTCTTTGCTTCTTAGATTGTCTATAAACTATAGGCTCACAGCATACTGTGAGACAAATGAAGATCGTGGTCATTAGCTTTCAGCTAGAAGTTTTCAGTTTTCCCTCACTGGGTAGGATGAGAAATGGGAGAATATTTACATAAAGGGAACAGCACAGAGCTGCGTATGGCAGGATGTGTTCTGCACTGTGCAGGCACTGCTTTGTCATTAATCCCAGGGTGAGCAGCACCTCCATCCGAAGAAGAGATGTGAAGTAGTGAGCTGAAGGGAAGGTATCACAGAATCATAGAATGGCTTGGGTTGGAAGGGACCCAAAGGATCATCATTCCACCCCCCCCCGCCACAGGCAGGGCCTTCACACTCTGTTTTTTATATCAGTACAATTAACTATTCACTGAATAAAAGTACTTCTTGACCAAGGACAGACTAAACATTGTATCTTTTCTCATTTGAACAGTTGGCTTTTGGGGAGTTTTCATCAGCACTTCACTGTCCTGAAGTTTGATACCCAGAGGAAAAGTGCTCAGGACAACTGCTGGTGAGGAGGAAGGGACAGGAGGAGACAGGGGAAGGCAGAAGGATGAGAGAAGAGGAAGTGCTGCCCAAACACACTGAGAAAGAGCAGTGGAGACTTACAAAGATAGGAAAGGGGTTTTATCACCAAAGTAATCATGGTCCCAGTTTTAAGAATCAAAGCAATCGTGAGCAGGGACATTCTGGTCCCTGAGCCAGGCACAAAATGTGAACCGTGATGGGAGGTAGCAGGTCTTCACACTTTGATATGGTAGAAGAGCCAACAGCAGAGCCAGAATGTGTTTGCTTTTGAATACCACGTGGACAAAATGGCCTTGCAAATCCTTGAGAACACAAAAGAAAGGCAGCAGTCTCACATTTTACTGTGTTCCCAGTTTCCAGCATCTGAGAAAAGCACTTCTCATTCCCCAAGTATGCATGTATGTCATTTGCTCTCTTACCTTGAGTTACCACTGCCATCTGAGCACAGCTTTACCTGTCCTCTGTGGCTGCTCAACCAGGTACTTCAGGCTGTGCCAGTGTCTGTCTGCAGACGGACGTGGATGCAAACAGACTGTTCAGCAATTAGGCCTCTGAGGGAAAGGTGGTACCAGCTGGCAGAGTGCTGTCTGAAATGCTTGTCTTCAGGAGAAGTCACTTGAGTTTCTGGCTCAATTGGTTGTTGAGGAAACCAGAAGGCAGTGTTGATGGCTTCAGGTTACTGTTCTGCACATTTTGCCTTTTCACATTCACATTGTCTCTAAGGTTGCCTCTCCAGTAAGCCATATTCTCACAATGGGAGGGGAAAGGGAGATTTCTCATAACGTGGACTTGTACGTGGATTTGTGTGGCAGAGCTCTGCCCTGCATCCCTGATCTTGCCTCCTGCATCTTCACTTGGAAGCTTGTGGTGTCATTTGTAATCTCTCCTGCATCCCCTTTTTCATTTCTGCCTGTTCTCTTGCTGATCTAATTGACCCCAGTTTGTAGTGAGAGGAAGAACAGCAGGTACATGCTACAGGTTCCTAGAGATGCAAGAACCATGTGGTGATTTTACTGTTTTTTATTGAGAATAAAAACAAACAGCAAACAACAAAATCTGCTGTTTCTTCTGCAGTGGCACAGGCACTGTCTTGGTAAGCAAAATTCTTTCTCAGATATTGTGAGTGCCCTCTTTGTGTCTGCCTGCAGCCTGATGCAGGAGTAAGGGAGAGCTGTAGCTATCCCTCCTAACTCTAAGGGCTGCATCAGAATTCAGAGCAGCACACACTCTTCTTAAAAATCAGCTTCGCTTCCAGAAAGTGAAGAGGTGAGATACCTCAAAAGTGTTGGACCAGCTGGGAGGATAACACACTTCCATGTTGTTTTCATGTCAGTCAGCTTTGCTGAATACTACGTTATGTGTTGTGTGAGCCATGCTCATGCCCAAAGGTGGGAGCTGTGACAGATGGACAAATCACTTTCTGCGTCCCAAAGGGCTGCAAATCTGCCTCCTCTGCCATGCATTCTCTGGGATGGTGTCCCAGGATGTTTTTCTGTGTTAATACTTAGGGTGTATGAATAGCAACTGTATCAGCTTGCTGTACCAGGTGGTGGTAGACCAGTGTCATAACATTGGTGAAAGCACAGTGTAAAACAAATCTGGTAGCACTCAAATCAGAGTTCAGCCAACTTCTGATGTCCCACTGTTCAAATAGTGTTCTTTTAGTTCAGCTTAATTTCTGTGGTCTAACCAGAAACTATAGGTTGACATGAAGCAGGCGCTTAATTAAACCACTGAAGTAAGCAGTGGTAGTAGAAATTTCTGCAACCATGTTTGGAAAGAACATCTGTAAATGTTAGCACACAGTGGTTCTGACCATCTCCCTAGAGCTGTTGTTTTTGCTTCTGAAGTTGACTGTTCTAGATACATGAGCTTTATCTCTTGAACAGGTTCATCAGGCTCTCTTCAGAGCAGCTTTTCTGGATGCTTTTACTCTCCTTCAGCTGAAAGAATCCAAAAGCCTTACCTTCTGGCCTGGGGAAAGACTGTCTGTAATTGGAAAATAAAATAAAATAAAAAAAAATTAAAAAAAATTGGAGTAGTGCATGCAGTACGTTAGGTGCTTAGAAGCTGAGGATGTCTGAAAAGGAGCTGCAGATCTGTGCCCTTTGCACACTGCAGTTCTCCCAGTGCAGTATGGAAGAGAGGAGACGATTGAGACACATGAGACCTTGCAGGAGGTGATGGTGCAGAAATGTCCCTCGTGGGCTGGCTGACCTTCAGGACTGCAGGGATGTCCAACAAGATGGAGCAGCACAGCTGGGGCATCCCCATCACAGAGGCTCTGGCACTGCCTTCACAGGCATGGCTCTATTTCTGATCAGGGATTCTAATGTGGGCTTCTTCTAGGGTTATTCCATGTGAGAGTACAGCAACTTCTGCAGCTGGCTGCTTATCACTCACTGTGGCCAGCTGCAGGCTGGAATCAGACTGAAGGCATAGTACAGTGCAGAGTTCACTGCCACCATGTTCCTGTTTGTCTGCCAGGAGGAATGAGTTATAAGCACTGGCACAGGCTGCCCAGAGAGGTGGTAGATGCCTGTGCCTGGAAACTTCCACAGCGAGGCTGGGCAACCTGATGTAGTGATAGATGTCCCTGTTCATTGCAGGGGAGGTGGACCAGATGACCTCTGAAAGTCCCCTCCAGCTCTAAGGGTTCTATGATTCTGTATAAATGGCTGTAAGATAGAGCGTGTATGTTTAATTCAACACCAGTGATACTAATGTCAGTCTGGAAATATGCAGAGTATTTCATTTGCTTTGTGCTTTGTGTAATAATGTTCTCATTTTCAAAGTGTTCAACCATTGCTGAACAAATCAGCATTTTGGCAGCTCGGAGAACTACTAACAAATTAAACAAATGGTTTTGAGCAAATTGCAAAGCAAACTTTGCACAAGGCTCAGCCTCCTCACCAAAACCAGCTTAAAATGACGCCACTTGTGAGCCCCATACAGAAAATATTTGATGGGCATTATGGAGAGTTAGTGTGGGTTAGCAAATGCTACTCCTAGCAGCATCGAATGGGATGCAGTTGGGCCCTTACAGTAGAAAACTGGTGCCAGCCCTTGATGGAACTGTCTATTAGCTCAGCAGGGGAAGGTGACTGCATGCAGTGCTCTGATCCTGCTGAAATTGCATTCTTCTCTATGGGGCTGCAGTTTTTAACTGAGACTGAATTCTCATGCATTCTTACAACAGCTCTTGGATGGGCGTTTTTCTTCACCATAATAAATAATATGGAAGTGTTCTTTTAAAACAAGCAAACGGAACATGATTACAGATAGATCACTATATCAACATTATGCATATTCAGATGCTGAAATCTTTCTGTTGGCCTGTGGCTTATTTTTTGTAACTTTAAAGAGAGAGCTTCATATGAAGTCATTTTTCCTTGTGGCTTGGTGTAAAAGCACCTACAAGTACTTTAACCTTTTGTGCAGACAGAATCACAGAATCACAGAATTGTAGGGGTTGGAAGGGACCTCCAGAGATCATCGAGTCCAACCCCACTGTGGCTAGTGCAAAAATCATTACTCCTTTGAAGAAATGTCATTTCCCTTTTTTTCTTTTCATCCTTCCTTTGTTCTTCTTCACATGCTAGTACAGCGGATGCCATTTTAAATAGTTTTCTCAAATTCCCATTGCTATTATGAATTCTATATTTGTTTGCCATTATCAGGACCCCTCACCTGCAACGTTTTAGATGACCTGGGCAGTCTGAGATATAGTCTGGTTATAACAAGCTTTCCCCCACCTGGAGAGGCACTAAGCTCTTTGTAAATGAGCCTGCTTTTGGAAACTAATGCCAATCAGCATGGCACCTGTGCAGCATTTAAATTACACTGGCACTGAAAGAGACTGGGAAAATCAACTCTGAAATGAGTCAATTTACCGCTTGAAAATGTGGTTTTAATGAACTGGATGCCATCATTTCCAGCATTCTTTATGGATTACACAGTTTTGAACGAGACAAACAAATCTTGATATTGATGGCTGTGCAGTTGAACCTTTCTTTGCAGCACGTCCATAGTTTTTGCTGGACCATTTTCCTTACAGGAAAGAAGAGATGTTTATTGTTTACCAGTGGAGCAGTAACTACTTAACAGCTGTATTTTTTGTCTTGAAAATGTATTGAGCTTCTAATACTCATGCTTAGGCAGATGTTGATGGAGCTATATTGACTTGCCATGTTCAGTATCATGATGGTCTCCTGGAGCTAACAGACAGTGTTGCAGAGCTCCTCATTAAGTAATTGCATGGAAGTTAGTATGAATTAAAATATATGAAGCAAGTTACACAGGAAGGGAAAAAGGCAAGCTTTTCTTTATAGCTTAGTTATTAGTATACGTTGCATGTTCATTACCTCTTTATAATGCTTGTGAGAATTTAATGTGATCAGATCTGTGTTACTGAAGTATGCTGTTCTGTCTTCTGCTTCTCTATTCTAATCCGTTGTGGTTTGCTTTCTGAAGCCTTCTGCCTACGTGCAAATTCATACAGCCATAGTAGCAAAATGCAGGTGTACACTTATTTTCTGTAAGAAAAGAATGGCAAAGGTGGGAGGTAAAAGCATGAAACTCCTTGACCTCCTTCAAACTCATGTTTTTAATACCAGATGTGTTATCATTTCTGAAATGTTTATTTCTATAGTGTCATCTATGCACATTTTTCACAGGATCCACTTGGGCTGTAAACATTTAAGCTCCAATAGGTGTTAAAGATTGACTGCCTAATGGTCTAGCTATGCTATTTCCCTGTTTTAGGTAATACAGCCAAAGTGTTCATTGAAGTGAAGGATGAGAACGATCATGCGCCTGTTTTTACCAAAAAAATGTACATTGGAGGAGTGTCTGAAGATGCTAAGATGTTTTCTTCTGTGCTTAAAGTTAAGGTAAGTCTGCAGTTGTCACATTAATATTCACTTGCAGTAGAAAAATACTTACGTGGTTCTTCTAAGCCTATTTGAACTGAAGCCACTAATTTCCTTATGATTAGTTTTTATAAACAAGTATGGTGAACACAAATGGGTAATTACTTTTGTAGAGTCAGTGTTTGATGATAGTTGCAAGTGTGATGGTCTCCATGTGTGTATGATATAGGTGTGCTGGCCTTGTATTCCAGCAGTCATTGATGCATGGCTGATTTGGAGATTCATGCTGAATCTGCATGGTCAGCAGTTGAAGATTTCTAGCTATCATTTTATGTATGTTAATGTTTAGGTGATTCTTTTGTGTTGGAAAACTGGGGAAGTAACTCTCAGGTCTGTGCACTCTGACACAACTTCTGGGTAAGATGGATTATTTGTCGTTAAAAAGCAAACAATGAAATAAGAAATTTCAAGGAAAGATATCTGAATATAAGAAGATATCTGGAATATAATTAGCCTCCAGCAGAAAAGCTAGCTTAGAATAAAAGCTGGGGTGTTTTTTTTTTTTTTTTTTTTTTTTTTTGTTCTCTTAAAAATGCTTTGTGGTGCAGTCTTTAGTGCTGGAGGCAGCTTGGGTTGCTGGGACTTTCCAGCTCAGCTCGTTTCCTTTGCCTTTATTTTGTTACCTCAGCAGGCCTCCTGCATGTTTTTCACTTTGTTAGTGGAATATTTTTCAAGTTGCTGATTCTAGCTTATGCATGAGAGGGCACAAATATATGACCCACTCAGATTTTTATGTTGACCTCAAAGTGTACTCAGAGCACTGGGAATAAAACAGAAAATATCACAGCTTGTCAAAGCTGTCCACTGCTTTATTTGTTCTGTGGCAGTCCTCCCCAAAGCCAATCCAGGGGCAGCAGAGAAGTGGGATATGGTTAAACATTGATTATTGGATAGAAGAGCACCAAAAAATTTTCCTACATTGTGATGTAGTTCAGAGGACTTTTTTTGTTTGTTTATATTTATTCATTTATTTTACATAAATTCTTTTCTCAGGCTATTTTAGGCTCCAGAATTTCCATGTTAGTCTTTTCTAGAAACGCATACAGCAGCCCAAGCAAACAGCTGGAAATTTTTACTGAAATTCACTTGGAATCTTTATGGTGCATAAATCTGCCCTATGGCCATCTTCCCAGCGTCTTCTGCAGGCAAAAATAGAACTTAAGATTGCAGCAGGTAGGGGCAGCAAGAATGCTGCTGCTCAGGGGCAGCTGGAGATGTTGCCTGCTGGAAGGACCTGTTCCCAATCTGTGGGTCATTTGGTGGACTGAATCGGGTAGGATCCCGTGACAAATCCAGGTAGGTGCAACTTCCCTCCCAGTGACCAAGGATGACATTGAATGGTTGAAAAAAAATGTAGCAATATTCAATGATTAGGAAGATTTGGGGAAGGGTTATGTGAGAGGAGATTCAGGACGTGCACTGGTAACTGGGAAGGAGTGTTGAAAAGGTCTGTTTCTGTGCTACCGCTTCACTGACTTGAAAATTCAATTCAGATGTCAGAAAGAAAACCAACAGTGTCATCTAGCATATGCTGTGCCTTTGTTTATTTGAAGTTATTTTCCTGTAAATAAAGAAATTACAGAGTGAATCGAAAGACAGTGCTGTATGTTGGAAATAATGCATTCAGGAAAAAGATTTGGAAAAACCTGTATACATAAATTTCTTTTCCTCCATCTTCAGTGTTCAGAACTTTCAAGGTTCACCAGGTTTCTGCTCTGTATGAAATCATTAGCCAGGTGTCAGTGTGATTCAATGAAAAGAAGAGTGCAGATGACCAAACTAAAGGAGTGCAGGTAGGATTGCTGTTAGGGTGATCTGAGGGTCATGTAGGGGTAATAGTTTTGTTAGTATCTTTTTTTCCCCAGACATTTTGCTAGTTGTTGCTTTTAGCCATGAACCTTAATTAGAAACTCTGGTGTACTCAACCATATGAAATAGAAAACTGTGTCAAATATATGAACTTCAGAAGGAGTGAAGATGCAATTCTACACAAAGATATTGGAGTAGACAAAGAATGCTGAATAGCAAAGTTATTTCTCTAAAGGAGCATTTTGTGGATGAAAAAATGAAATGTAAGGAACAAATTTAAAAGTGTAGTATGAGTTTATTATACAAAATGAGAACAGAATGTGAAATCCTACCTGTTACTGTTCCTAGCTCTTTATTCATATTCCTGCTTACCAGCAAAGGAGGTAAGAAATGCATGAAACAGAGCAGGAGTATGGGTAAGGGATATTCAGGCAAAAAGAGGGAAATCTGCTTTTACCTGTCAGAAACATGTAACTTGGAAAAGGTGGCCAGAGAACAGAAAAGGATGATCAGAGAAATGCAGGAGTGAAGTTACTGCTGAACATCTTTAACCTGCTCTGGTTAAAATTTGTAACAGAAATCTCCCTGACTTTGCTCAAAGGCAAATACAGAGCAGGTCGTAAGACAGAAGTTGTTATTAGTGGATGGCAGCAAAGACAACAAATTTTACTGAAGTAAAATTAGAAACAGTTAAAAAGTGCTTGTAGCAGAAAACCAGGCTGTAATTTACTGTTCTAGCACAAGTGTTTGCAGCAGTTGGTGCTAGCTGGCTTATTTCCTGTCCTCTAAAATAAAAAGTAATTGCTCTGTTATTTAAATACAATGCCCATTCCAATTACAATGTTAAGAAGTATTAACTAAATGAATGTCTGTTCTTGAGTTCAGGTGATTAGAACTAAACGAGTAGTTTTCTAAGCTGAAATTTTAAGAAAATTAATGAAGTACAATAGAAATTACTCAAATTTCCATCCTAAATGGGAAACTGGGCTCCTAGGAAATACCACTTCTCCAAAAGAATGGTCGGGCATTGGAATGGGATGCCCAGGGAGGAGCCACCGACACCAGTGGAGTCACTGACCATGGAGGTGTTCAAGGAACATTGTGTTGAAGGACACGGTTTAGTGAGAACTATTGGTGATAGGTGGACGCTTAGACTGGATGTTGTTGGAGGTCTTCTCCAACCTTGGTGATTCTGTGATTTACTTTTATCTTCTGCAATCACTAAAACTTGCTAATTTTTTAATGACATCTGAGTTGTTGTAAAAATAAAGTATTTACTCTATGTATTCTCAGCATATTCTCATTCTTTTGTCGCTGATGATTTTAGTCATCTTCAGGCATAGCTTTGTCTAGCAGCAAAGCAAAATGTAAATCTACTCAGTATATATGACTAAAACCATTGTTACTGGGACACGGTGGACCAACATTTCTAAATTATGAAGAGCTGTCTTATTTGTCTAGAGAGGTAATTGAAGTCCTGTTGCTGGAGACATTCAGCGTAAGTCTGAACAGGGCTCTGAGCTCCTGATACAGCTATAGGTGTCCCTGTTCATTGCAGGGGAGTTGGACCAGATGGCCTTTAAAGATCCCTTCCAGCTTGAACACTTCTGTGATTCTGCAGTGCCATGCAGTGTTGTGTACCAATATGTGACACTTCCTGTATAGCAAGACTCAGGCTTGCCATGTTTTCCCCTGTACTTCAGTGAAGTAGCAGTAAAAGGCAGGTACTAAATGAGTAGAGGTGGCATTAACTTCTGAATTGCTTTCTTATTTCCCCTTCATTATTGTGAGGGAAGGAGAGAGTATTTATTTACAGTTAAATGATTGTTGTTAACAAAAATGGATGGATCCTAAATTGTATTAATTGTATTAAACTATATATATATATATATATATTTGAGGTACGTCAGGGTCTCTGTTAATTATCTCTCGGCTTCTCTTGTTTCTCTCCTGATTTTTATCTGACATTGATGGATTTGGCTTGAAAAGCTGAAGGACTTCTGTGAGTAGTGGATGATGCAGCTACTAGGTCAGCCCTTTTGAAGTCCTCCTTTTCCTTGTCATCGGATGTGTTTGTTTGATACCAACTCTTACTTATCGCTGTCTGACAGCCCTGATTTTGTATCCCTCTGTATGAATCTATGTGCTCTAAATAACCCAAATGAGTTCCTGCTTCTGTGGATGGGTCTGACGTAAGTCAGAGCATTGTTTTGTACCAGGACTTTTGTTGTGCTGCCAGCCTGTAGAGGCACTTGTCAAGGTTTGGCTGTCTCAGTGAGGTGGGATACTTGAAAAATTGTACAAGGGAAGGAATAAATCAGAGCCTGTAGAGCAGAGGGGTATATTAAAAGAGAAAGGAGTACAGCCCAATCCTATAGTGAGAGAGTGAGAAGAAAAAATAATTCTTGATCAGAGGTTGAGCTATGAATCCATCTTCTGCTTTCACATTAAAAAAAAGTATGCAACTCATGTTAACTGTGGCATATTTCTCATCGCTGTGCAACTCCCTAACTGTGCAACTTTTATGTGCTCTGAAGGTCATGGAGAGACAGGTTTAAACTAATTCCCAATGCACAAGCACCTAGATTTAGCTTCTTGTATCAGGTGTTAATAAAAGGGCAAAGATCTTCTCTTGAGGGGACTGACTTGACCCAGTACAAGTGAGCAAGGGCTGGCAACCATTTGGCACTCTGTGTGATTGTCGTGTAGCACATGAGGAGCAGTTGAGGGAGCTGGGATGGTTCAGTCTGAAGAAGAGGAGGCTCAGGGGAGGTTTCATCAATATCAGCCTGATAGGAGGTTGTGGGGAGGTGGTGGTTGGCCTCTGCTCCCAGGTTAACAATGACAAGGCAATAGGTTCCGGAGAAGACCTTAAGTTGAGCCATGGGAGGTTCCAGTCGGATATTAAGAAAAATTTCTTCTCCAGAAGAGTGATAATGCATAGGAATGGGTTGCCTAAGGAGGTGCTGGAGTCACCATCCCTGGAGGTGTTCAAGAAATGTGTAGATGTGGCAATGAGGTCCAAGTGGCATGATGGTCTTAGTGGTCTTTTCCAACCTTAATGATTCTGCAACATTCTTTCATTCTTTGTGCTGAAGCATCTTCGTGTTTATGGGCAATCAGAAGGGGTCATCTCTGACCTTAAAGCCACA